TCATCCCTCTCTCCCCTCCATCCCTCTCCCCCTCCACCCCCCTCTCTCCTCCCCCTCCTGACGCTGCTGACGGTGCGACCCATCCTGACAGCTTTACTCTTCCGTTTTCCGCTTCCTCCCTTTATCTTCCTCCTCTTCGCTTGTCTCCTCTCCTTCTTTGTCTTCCTGGTGTTGTGTCTCGCGCGATGGTCCGCTCCGCTAAGACTCCGGATAATCGTCTTTTGATATTTTCTGTCTCTTGGTGTTTCTGATTTTCGTTCTTTCGCTTGTTTTTTTTTTCTGTCTGTCTCTGTTTGTCTGTTTTGTTTTGTTTGTTTTGTCTGTCGTGTTTCTGTCTGTCTGTCTCTGTCTCTGTCTCTTTTGCCTCTGTCTCTGTCCTGTCTGTCTGTCTGTCTGGTCTGGTCTGTCTGTCTGGTCTATCTCTCTCTCTCTCTCTCTCTCTCTCTCTCTCCATCTCTCTGTCTCTCTTCTCTCTCTCTCACGTCTCTCTCTTCTCTCTCTTCTCTCTCTCTCTTCTTGTGTGTGTGTGTATGTGTGTAAACAATGTACCGTTTTCTATGACGCAACAGAAAACGGAAGGCGACGACCGCAAGAGCTGAAAGCTATCTTTTTAAAATAGGAAATCACCCATTTTCTCACCTTCTCTTCGTCTATTCCTTCCTCCTTCATATTTCTTTTCATTTTCTTTCATTTATGGAAGGGTAGGCTAAGAGTTAGAGAGAAGAGAGATGAGAGAGAGAGAGAGAGAGAGAGAGACCGAGTAGAGAGAAGAGCAAGAGAGAGAGCAGAGAGAGAGAGAGAGAGAAGAGAGAGAAGAGAGAGAGAAGACGCGCAGAAGAAGAGAGAGAGAAGAAGAGAAGAGAGAGAGAGAGAGGATAATTGAAAGGGAAAGAGAGAGAAAAAATAAACTGAAAAAACAAACAAGTGTAAGCAAAGCGAAAGAAGACAGAAAAAAGGAATAGCAAAAAAATAGACCCGAGAAAAAAAATGAAAAAAGAAGGAAAAGGGAAGGAGAAAAAAAGCGGGAGACGGCAAGCCATTTCCACCTTCCCGTCGGGTGAAGATAAAGAGCGAGAAATTGCGTGCGTGACGAGGCGAGACTTTACTTTACTGCCGCTGACCGACCGATCTTTAAGGGAGGGGGGTAGGGGTGGGGTGGTAAAGGGGGGGGGGGTGAATCGCGAAAAATTTAATATATTCAATTCTATTTTATAATGAATTCTGCTTTGGTTTGATTCGTAGAAATCTAAAGAGATAAGAGCCCCGTTAAGGATAATTTTATGGCTTAATCAACAACGATTTGTTATTAACAAAATGACGTTATAAAATGATGATGATAATATTCATAACGGCAGAGGAGATAAATCTGACCTTTATATACAAAATCTTTAAATACAACAAGAGGTGTTTTGATATACACTCAGGAAACTATTCGTAAATAATACTTGCGAACCATTGCCCCTTGTTTGTGCAGAAGAATAATGGCAAGAGAGCAAGAGAGCGAGAGATTTATATATATATATATATATATATATATATAATATATATATATATATATATAATATAATATATAATATACACATATATAATATACTATAATATACATATTAATATATATATATATATATATATAATATATATTATGAGAAGAAGAAGAGAGAGAGAAGAGAGAGATGAGAGAGAGAGAGAGAGAGAAACGAGAGAAGAGAAGAGATGGATGGATGGATGAAATGGATAGGCAGATAGATGAATAGATACATATATATCTATATCTATCTATCTATCTATCTATCTATCTATCTATAGATAGATAGATAGATAGACAGAACATATAGATAGAGTAGAGTGGGGGTTAGAGAAGTAAATAACCTTGTTATTCACTTCTCATTTTCATCGGCAAGAGCCATCTTAAATGAAGAGAAGAAAAAAAGAAAGAAGAAAAAGAATTGATAGAGGAAGAGAATAAAAGAAGAACAAGGAAGAGGCGGATGGCCACCTCCTGTTCAACTCTCCCCCTCCTCTCCCCTCCCCCCTCCCCATTGGTCCTCCTCCCTTCCCTTCCCCGCTCTTCTTGCTCCTCTTCCTCCTCCTTCTCTTCGCTACTCTCTAATTCTTTAGCACCTCCCCCTATTTTCTTCCTTTTTTTCCTTTTCGTCGCCACAGAGTAAAGAGGTCAGGATTGCGATAGATAGGTAAACAGACACACAGACATTCAGATAGACACGCTTACAGATATATAGACAGACAGACAGACGAGATGAGGGAATGGAAGGAGGACGGAAGAGGAAAGGGAGGAAAAGATAGCGGTGAAAGAAATAAACAATGACCTTTTAATATTATTTTTCCTCTTCAATTTTCTCTCCTCTCTCAATCTCTCTCTTTCTTTCTCTCTCTCTCTCTCTCTCCTCTCTCTCTCTCTCTCTCTCTCTCTCTCTCTTCTCTCTCTCTCTCTCCTCACTCTCTCTCTCTTCTCTCTCTCTCTCTCTTCTCTTCTCTCTCCTTCTTCTTCTTTTCCATTATTATCATTTCGTAATTATATTGACATCGGAATCATCACAGCTGATCGCTCCAAAAATCAAAGATTATTTTATTATTGTCTATATGAAGTATAATAAAAAATAGTTTTTTTCCTGTCTCGTTTTTTAATATTTATTTTACTGTTTTTGGCACTTCCTTTATGAAATATTATACAAACATTTGATTATTTTTTCCGTCTCCTTAATACATTATTTAGTTTTTCTTCTCCTCCTCTTCCTCTACTATCTCTCTTTTCTTCCTCCTCTATCTCCTTTTTCCTCCTCCACCTCCTCCTCCAAATCAATCAATCATGTTTCAAACACCAAACCAATTTCATTTCCGTTAAAATACAAAAAAAAAAGAAAACAAAAGAATTCGATAAAAGATTAAGACTCAAACGCGCAAAGAAACTTACTTTTTTTTTGAAAGCAAGTCGTTGATTGGTTGGAAAATCTCCTAAATGACTCCGCCCACTTTTTCGCGCCAGCCAATCAGCGGCGGCCAATTATCCGCCCGTGTTTATGTGCCATATTGATAACGGGTTTAATCAATTCCCTCAAGATTCTCTCTCTCTCTTTCGTTGTTTCATTATCGGAATACATTAAGAGAGTTCATCTGAATAAATTATACAGAGTGAGGCAAATAAATTCGATAAATTCTCTCACATCATGGAGGCAAAGGAGAAAAAAATAATTTTTTTTTGGGGGGGTAGGGGTTAAGGAGGAGAGAGGGAGACTAGATAGATAAATAGATGGATAGATAAAATAGATAGATAAATAAATAGATCGATAAATGGAGAAACAAATAAACAGAAAGAGACATAAATAAGACAGATGAACAAATATATAGACAATCATACAGATCGCCTCACATAAAAAAATATATCGCCATAAAAGATAACTACGCCGAAACAAAAGATAAAAGAATACACAAACGAAGAGAGAGAGAGAGAGAGAGAGAGAGAGAGAGAGAGAGAGAGAGAGAGAGAGAGAGAGAGAGAGAGAGAGATGAGAGAGGAGAGAGAGAGAGAGAGAGAGAGAGAGAGAGAGAGAGAGGAGGAGCGGGTATGAGAAAAAATAAAGAAAAATTAAAACGAAAAAAACAACAAAAATAAATAAAGAAAGAAAGAAACAGAGAAGAGAAAGAGAAAAAAACGACGAACCCCAAATATAATATAATACATAATACAAATAAAGAAACTACAGAGAGAAGGAGAGGAAGAAATGAGAAAAAGAACGAGAGAAAGAGAAAGAGAAAAGAAAAAACGAAAGAGAAGAGAGGGGAAGAAAGACAGACAGAGACACAGAAAGAGAAAAAGAAAGACAAAGAGAGACACAGAGAAAGCCAGATCAAGAGAAAAGCAAAAACAAAAAGAAAAAGAGAAAAAGAAAACACACCCCGAAAAAAAACAGAGAAAGCCAGACCAAAAACCAAAAAAAAAAAAAAAAAAAAAAAAAAGAAAAAAGAAAGAGAGAGAGAGAGAAGAAGAGAAAAATAAAAGCGAGGAGAAGGAGAGGCGGGAGGGAGGCGCGGACGGACCGAGCACGTGAGGAATCAGCTCAAATGTCTCAAAAGGTCTTGATAGTGGCGATAGAGAAAGAGGGGGGGAACGGGGGAGGAGGAGGGAGAAGGGGAATGGAGGGGGAGGGAGATGGGGTGCAGGTTGGGAGGATAGGGTTTGGGAGAAGGGGAGGAGGAGGGAGAGGGGGTGGTTTAGGTGGAGTCTGTGGATGGAGGAAGGATGGAGGGGGGGTTGTTGGGAGGGGAGGTTGAAGTAGGATGGGGGGAAGGAAGAGGGGGTTTGGGGAGGTTGTGGAGGGGGGAGGTGGGGGTTGGGTAGGACGCCTGAAGGAAGAATGGGTGGGGGGGTTTGTGGGGGAAGAAAGGGTGGAGGGAGGCTGAAAGAAGATGGGGGGGGAGGAGGGGGGGATTAGGTGGAGGCTGAGGGAGGAGGANCGTGTGAGGAGGTTGGTGGGGTTGTCCACGGGTTCAGGGAGGGGTTGGTGGGGTCGTCCAGCGGGTTCAGGGCGAGGGGGTGGGAGAGTTGGTGGGGTTGTCCCAGGGGTTCAGAGGGGTTGGTGGGTTGTCCAGGGGTTCAGTGGGAGGGGTTGGCGGTTCAGGGGTTGGTGGGGTTCCAGGGTTCAGGGGAGGGGTTGGTGGGGTCAGAAGGGAGGGGAGGGTTGGTGGGGTTGTCCAGGGGTTCAGAGGAGGGGTTGGTGGGGTTGTGGTGGGGTTTGTCCAGGGGTTCAGTTGAGGAGGTTGGTGGGGTTGTCCCAGGGGTTCAGTTGAGGAGGTTGGTGGGGTTGTCCACGGGTTCAGGGAGGGTTGGTGGGGTCCGTCCAGGGGTTCAGGGGAGGTTTGGTGGGGTTGTTCCAGCGGGTTTGCAGGGGAGGGGTTGGTGGGGTTGTCCAGGGGTTCAGGGGAGGGGTTGGTGGGGTTGTCCAGGGGTTCAGTTGAGGAGGTTGGTGGGGTTGTCCAGGGGTTCAGTTGAGGAGCGTGTTGGTGGGGTTGTCGCACGGGTTCAGGGGAGGGGTTGGTGGGGTCGTCCAGGGGTTCAGGGGAGGGGTTGGTGGGGGTTGTCGCAGGGGTTCAGAGGAGGGGTTGGTGGAGGGTTCCAGGGTTTCAGGGGAGGGGTTGGTGGGAGTTGTGGGGTTGTCCAGGGGTTCAGAGGGGGTTGGTGGGTTGTCCACGGGTTCAGAGGAGGGGTTGGTGGGGTTGTCCCAGGGGTTCAGGGGAGGGGGTTGGTGGGGTCGTCCAGGGGTGGGATGGGTTGGTGGGGTTGTCCAGGGTTCAGAGGAGGGGTTGTCTAAGGTTTCAGGGAGGGGTTGGTGGGGTTTCCAGGGTTGGTGGGGTTGTCATGGGATTCATAGGAAAGTACTTAGTGAAATTCAAGGAAGATACATAGTACAAGGAGTATAAAAACACCTCCGATAACTTCAGTATTACAGAATTATGACAAACGACATGTAAATATTGCAAATAAGGAATAAGTCCTCTTATTTTATTCTGTCAATGTTGATATTGACAGGTGAGAGAAGGGGAGAGAATATCCACCTACCTACGAGAAAGTAGTTAATGATGATGATGACAATAATGATGATAAGGAGAGTGATACTGATGAGAATTATAAGGATGATAATGAAAATAATAATGATAGTAAAGATGATTATGAGGATGGTGATAATAATGATGATGGTGAATACGATGAGAAGAATAACAATGATAGAAATAATGATAATGATAATGAAAATAATAATGATGACTATTAACATCACCATTATCATCAGCAGCAGCATTATCATTGATAATTATGATAATAATAAAAATGATTATACTACTACTACTACTACTACTACTACTAATATAATAATAATAATAATAATAGTATAGTGATATAATAATGATAATAATAACAGTAATAATATAATAATGATAACAATAATAATAATAATAATAATAAATATAATAATAATAATAATAATAATAATAACACCAAGAGAAAAAAGTGAACACAGAAAGATTTTTTTTTCCATTATATATATCCCAATGAACCGTTACATGAGAAAATTTAAGTCTCGGAAGTGGGGGAAGGGAGGAAGGGGGGGAGGGGGAGGAGGAAGGGGGGAAGGGGGGGGGGGGCAATCGCTTCTTTAAATATGACTTTAATATCATTTTTTATTTGATACAATTTCTAAACTTTTTTTTTTATCTATTTTTTTTCCTTACTTTCTTTTTTGTTTTTTATATGATTATGGTAATTCTACAACGTGTTCTTTTATTTATCGTTATGAATTATAGATGTGTGGGCGTGTGGCGTGTGTTATGATGTGTTACGTACATCGTGTGTATAAGCACATACGTAACGGTGTCTAACACTGCACATACAAGGTTACAGTGAGGGAGGGAGTGGGAGATTGTGTTATATATATATATATATATATATATATATATATATATATATATATATATATAGAGAGGAAGAGAGAGAGAGAGAGAGAGAGAGAGAGAGAGAGAGAGAGAGAGAGAGAGAGAGAGAGAGAGAGAGAGAGAGAGAGAGAGAGAGAGAGAGAGAGAGAGAGAGAGAGAGAGAGAGAGAGAGAGAGATAGTGAGTTTGTGTGTGTCTGTGCGTGTGTGTATGTGTGTTGTGTGTGTGTGTGTTATATATTTGCAAATTCCAAAAAGCAATCCGAAAAGAAATAAGAAAACAAATAAAACAAATAATATCAATAACAATGTCAACAACAGAACAAAAAATGGACATGAAAACAAGTAAAAGAACCAAAATAAAAGCTTAAAAAAAAAGAGGAAGAAGGTAAAGCGCAATAAAATATTTTCGAGTAAAATTTATCAGTTCTCTTTCCTTCTATTATTTTTTTTTCTTACAAATGCTTTTTTTTTTTCTTTCTTTCTTTTTCTTTTTGTTCTTTTTTTTGTTCTTCAAGCGATTTGTCTCTCAGAGTTACGTGACGTGACAGTTTTTGTTGTCAATTTTTTTTGCTTGTCTTTTTGTTGGTTTTTTGTTTGTTTTTGTTGGTTTGTTTGTTTTCCTGTGTTATTCATTTATTTCCCGTTCTTGCATTTTCTATATTTGTTAGTAAGTTTGTTTGCGTTTTTGTGAGGTCTTAGGGGATGGAGATGAAGAAAAGATAAGAGAGAATAAAGCAGGGAGGAAGAGTAGACAGAAGGAGAAAGAGAAAAAAAGAGAAGGATGAGGAAACGGAGAAAAAATTGAGAAAAAAAAGTTGAAGAAGAAAGAATGAAAAAGAAAAAAAGAGAAGAAGAAAAAAGAAATAAATGATAAATAAAGGAAGAAAGAGAGGATTAAAGAGTCTAAAGAGATAAGAATGATAATAAATGAGGGAATCTAAATTACCCACATCCACATAGATGAGTTAAATGAGGGCCATGAGGTTTGTTTCTCATATACAAACCGTCCAGTATAAAGTACCTTATCCATGACTCATATAACCCAACATACACATAGATCGACATACACTTTCTACTTAAAATATTTCCCTGTTTCCTCTCTTCTCCTCTCGCACCTCTCTTTCTCTCTCCCGTCCCCTCCATACATCATTTTTTGTTTTCTTTACACCTTGTCCTGTCCAAAATTTCTTATCTCCATAGGCACCGCTTACATTTAAATTCATACCTCATACCATACGCGCCCTACCTCACGAGCCTACCCATCCTACTCCCATACCCCACCCACTCTGCCTTATACCCAAACTCATCGAACCTCATACTCAAGCCTTATAAACCTCACACCCGTAAATCCTATACCCTAACCACTCCGCCTTATACCCAACCTCATACTCAAACCTTATAAACCTCACACCCCTAAACCTTGCTGATTGTACTACTATACCCTACCCACCTCATGCCCAACTCATACCCACCTCATACCCAAACCTTACCTTCTCAACATTCTCTACCCCCCACTCATACCCCAACACAACACATAACACAATAAAAAATCCACACTACTCGCCAGACACCCCCTCCCCTAACCACCCACCCCCACCCCTTCCCCCAATCCATTCCCCAATCTCCCCCACCCCTTCCCCCAACCTCCTCTACCCTTCCCACCCCTTCCTCCAACTCCCACCCCACCCATCCCTAACTTCCCAACTTCCTACCACCCATCCCCCAACCTCCTACCATCCACCCATCCCTTAACCTCCCAACCCTTCCCCACCCCACTTCATCCCATTCTAAATAACCCCCAATAAACCTTCCCCATCCCACACCTTCTAAAATAACCCCCGCAAACCCCACCTTCAGTAAATAACCCCCCTTCCGCCTCACCCACTTCTAATACCCCCCAATAAACCCCGCCTTCACCCACCCCACCTTCTAAAATAACCCCTCCAATCCCCAGCCACCCCATTTCTAATAACGCCTTCCCCGCACCTAAATAACCGCCCCTTCACCCCCCCACCTTCTAATAACCCCCCACTAACCCCCCCCCGGCCCGCCTTCTAAACAACCCCCAATAACGACCCCTTCTAAATAACCTTCCCCCCCTCCCCCAACCTTCTAATAACCCCATAACTTCATCCTTCTAAAATAACCTCCCCACCTTCACCTTCCCCACACCACGCTTTCCTAATAACCCCAATAACCCCACCTTTCCCACCGCCTTCCCCACCCCCCTTCTAAATAACCCCACCTTCCCCCCACCCCACCGTTCTAAATAACCCCCAGTAACCCCACCTTCCCCCACCACCACCATTCTAAATAACCCCCGCGTACTTCCCCACCCCACCTTCTAAATCCCCCCAATAACCCCACCATTCCCACCCTTCCCGCCACGCCCACCTTTAAAACCCCCCAATAACCCCGCCTCCCCCACCCCACCTTCTAAATAACCCCCCAATAACCCCCCCTTCCCCATCCCGCAAATAACCCGCCGCAAAAACCCCCCTTCCCCTTCCAACCCTCCTTCTAAATAACCTCACTCCCCCCCTTCCCCCACCCCCTCCCCCTACTCGACTAAGCTCACAAAAGAAATGGCGAAACCTTGATCCAAAGGGTTATTACGCGCCTCCTCACGCTGATTGCAATAATTACCTCATATCACGCGGATTATCGTTGTCCAGGTTGCAATACTTGGCTGAAACGATCCCCCAGATTATTGCACGGAATTTGCGTATTAATGATAGCAATTGCACGACCAGGAGGAAGGGAAGTGACGCAGAGAAGTAGAGAAGGAGGGAGAAGTGGCGGTGGCGTTTCGCGTTTCGCTGTTATTTTGCATGATGAATTGGAGAAGAAAGATGATTGGGGAGAGGAGAGAGAGAGAGAGAGAGAGAGAGAGAGAGAGAGAGAGAGAGGAGAGAGAGAGAGAGAGAGAGAGAGAGAGAGAAGAGAGAGGGAGGGAGAGAGAGGGAGAGAGAGAGGGTGAGAGAGAGAGAGAGAGAGAGGGAGGGAGGAGAGAGAGAGAGAGGGAGGGAGAGAGGGAGAGAGGAGAGGAGAGAGGGAGAGAGAGAGAGAGAGAGAGAGAGAGAGAGAGAGAGAGAGAGAGAGAGAGAGAGAGAGAGAGAGAGAGAGAGAGAGAGAGAGAGAGAGAGAGAGAGAGGAGAGAAGGGAGAGAGAGAAAAGTAAAGAAAGACATGGAGTCGGGGAAAGGGGGGGAGCAGGGAAATATCTATATATATATATATATATATATATATATATTATATATATATATATATATATATATATATATATATATATATATATATATATATATACGTGTGTGTGTGTGTGTGTGTGTGTGTGTGTGTGTGTGTATATATATATATATATATATATATCTATATATATATATATATATATATATATATATATATATATGTATATATATATATATATATATATATATATATATATATATATATTATATATGAAGCTAGAAAGAGAGAGAAAGTGATAGAGAAAAAAGAGGCAGATACAGAGATGGAGACAGAGAAGCAGAGAACTAAGAAAGAGTAAATGCAAATACGAGAAACAGAGGAAGAGAAAGAAATGAAAGAAACTGAGGTAGTAATATAACATTTGCAACGTCCAATTTGCATGAAGTTTGAAGAGGAAATAAGGAGAGAAGAGAGTAATAATTCAAATTTTATATGACCGGCATTTGTCTGCATAACCTACAAAGGTTATGTTTCGATGAAATAAGTGCAGAAAAAAGTAGTTTTTAGGGGGGTTTTTTTGTATTTTTTTTTTGGGGGGGGGAGGGGGCGGAGTAAATTGGTGCTTTTTCCTTTTTTTCAGAATTACTACCCTTCCTTTGTGTTATTTTATTTACATATAAAACACAAATGCTCATTAAGGGATTAAAACCCCACGATTTATTTCGCATGTGCCTCTTATTCCTACCGTTTATTTTCCTAGCCATTACGCCTCTAACTTCAAGAACAATAAATAACAACTTTAAGGATGATATTCCCTTTAAAACAAACGAATTGCAGCGTCCGGTCCGAAACAGACGCAAAGGGGGGTAAACAACAACGATTGACTCCATTTCCCCCGACGCTTCGCCTGTCAGATTTAGAAGCAATGACGCAATCGCTGAGAGCCAGTTGGGTTGTGGACGGGAGGGTAGGAGGGAGGGAGGGAGGGAGTGGACGCTTGGGAGAGGGAGGGAGGGAAGGAGGGTGACGCTGGGAGGGAGGGAGGGTGACGCTGAGAGCCAGTTCGGTTGTGGACGGGAGGGTAGGAGGAGGGAGGGAGGGTGACGCCGGGAGGGACGGAGGGAGGAGGGAGGGCGACGCTGGGAGGGAAGGAAAGGAGGAGAGGAGGGTGACGCTGGGAGGGAGGGGGAGGTTTACCCTGGGAGGGACGAAAGGAGGGTGACGCTGAGAGCCAGTTGGGTTTGTGGACGGGAGGGTAGGAGGGAGGGAGGGGGGGTGACGCTGGGAGGGAGGGAGGGTGACGCTGGAGGGAGGGAGGGAAGGGTGACGCTGGGAGGGAACGGAGGGAAAGGAGAGGTGACACTGGGAGGGCGGAAAGGAGGGTGAGCTGCAGAGCCAGTTGGGTTGTGAACGGGAGGGTAGGAGGGAGGGAGGGAGGATGACGCTGGAGGGACGAGAGGAGGGTGAGCTGAAGAGCAGTTGGGTCTGTGGACGGGAGGGTAGGAGGGACGGAGGGAGGGTGACGCTGGGAGGGAGGGTAGGAGGGGAGGGACGGAGGGAGGGAGGGGAGGGAAGAGGGTGAGACGCTTGGGAGGGAGGGAGGTGGACGTTGGCGGAGGGAGGGGAGGGAGGGTGCGCTTGGGAGGGAGGGAGGGAAGGAGGGAGGGATAGACGCTGGGAGGGAGAGAGGGAGGGAGGGTGACGCTGCGGAGGGAGGTGAGGGGAGGGAGGTGAC